GGGGGGGGGGCACAAGATCGGTTATCCCCGATTGATCTTGAGGCCCTGTCAGACTGAAACAGATATTTTGACTTTTAGGGGTTCTTTACATGAAGCCTCAATATTTTCAAAAAATTTGATTAAACCACATTCTTGATTGTATAACAGACACTCAAAGGCCACATTTGCTTAAATTTCTATTTCAAAATTTGCAGAAGTTCAAAGTGCGTTTTGATATCTTGCTATATTACAATATTGAAGATCATTATGTTTTCCTTAAGAAATTCACGTCTTCAAACATGTATCTTGAGATAAGGTCGTGTATAATTTTTCAAAAACGTGAGTAAATTTCGTGTAAGTTTGCGGGGATATAGACAATTTTTAAACAATTATTTTCTTAAAGAAACAATAAGTCATGAAAAAAGGCACTTATTCTAACTTATGCTGGAGTGAATAAAGGCTTGTAAACAATTGAAAAAATGGGCATGGCCTTTTTTCAAAATTGTCTTTAAAGAACACATTTCAAGAATCAGATCTACATCATTCTATTAGGCGTTTATTACGCAACCGCCAACAAAATTTAATTTTAAAAAAAAAATGGAGCCATTTTTTTGAAAATGTGCCAGGGTATTCATGTAATATACCCCCAACAATTAAAATGGTTGCGACCATCTGCCAAATAGTTTGGAGAATATCAGTTTTGAAGAAAACTGGCTGAATGGTTTACTGGCTTGCGTTGTTCACAGACAGGAATGGACAGACTGACGTTTTGCCATGAATCAATTTTTCGGTATAAAGAACCCGTTGAACGTGGATTTTGGTCTCACCACAAGTTAGATGAATTTGTATTCTTTTTTTGGCAACTATATTTATCTACTTTGAGTTATTAGGGCCATGCAATTTTGTTTGTGACGGCAATTGTTTTTGAAAATTCGCCGTTCCCCGCCCCCTCAGCGTTACATGACTTTCTCTATAATGCATTAACAGTAGCGAGAGAGTAACAAATGTCATCCATCAACAAAAAAAATCGCAAAGCAATTCTATGGTGAAAGTTTATAACAAAATTTCAAATTTGCTTGGCTAAAATGTATCGAAATGCATTGATGTGAAAGTTAAATTTGAAGTTCCAGGAACCGATTACATCATCACAATATCTACATAGTAGTTTTCAAGATTTAGTATATTGTGATTCGTTGTAACGATCTTGCGTAAACGATAGTAATGAAAGACCAATAAAATAAATTAACACATTCACAAATTCTCTGCAAATCTTATAGATCCTACTGATTTTCGATTTGTATTAGAGACATTTCAATCAATTTGACAGACTAAAAGTTCAGAAATTTAGTGTTGACCACTCTAGTTTTGCTCAGCTTTGGTAAATTTGTAACGAAATACGTCAATTGTATTTCGTCATTTTAGTGGAGACGATGCTTCAAACATTTAATTTGTATCTTGCGTACTTTACTTTTTTCTTTTGAACAGAAGTCCTTCGCGTGTTGCAATTCATGCCCCCAAGAAGTTTCTTCACCTGGACTAAGTAAAAGAAAAGGCTTCAGCAGAAGTAGAGAAGCTTAAAATGACTCTGCAAACATGCTTCGCAACACATTCTGAAACAACGTTGACATCAATAATTCCACCTCTGGCCCTTTGTTGCGATGACCAGAGTAGTTCCAACAGCAAATGTTTTAACAATGACGCGGTGTATAAACGTTCACCTAATTTTTAGGTACGTTTTCGCAAACTACTCTTAAACTTATCAAATTTTGTTTTCATAAAAATGTTCGTTCCAACTGGAAGTTTGCCTTTAAAAACTATTGTTCTTGTTTCGTTGATTGAAATTTTAAAATTGTATCTTTTTTCAATATTACTTAAAACATGCACTGCGTGTTGTAACATCTTCACTATATGGCAGGGAAACGCGGTTTTTACCATAACATACATAAAGATTTAAAATATACATTTTCTCCTAGATTAATTTCTTTAACTACCCATACGTTCCTTGTTCTGAATGTGTCGTACATTTAAATATAAACACTAGTGGAAGTATAGAATGGCACTGTCTTTTCCGTATTACTTTTGTATTTCCATTGGTCTCGGCTAGTTCTGACTTACCACATACTACATTTGCCAGCTATCATCTATCGCCGCCCAAAGTGCATTTTTTTCCCGGCTTCTTAGTAGTAGAACGAAAATATTATTTTAAGAATATTAAATAATAATAAAAGCTCAACATAAATCGCAATTTTCTTTGAAAAATTGGGAGCCGTTCTTTAAAAAGAAAATGGCATTCAAGCACCACTCTAGATTAGAAATTTGAACATCTTTCCACAGAAAACTATTGAATTTTTGAAACACGTCATATGACGTCATTGAACTTTCAGTCTCAAATGCAGTAGTGTTTACAAATCGCTAGAAATGTGCATTTTAAAGGCATGGGATATCTACAAAAATTATATTTGTGTAGTTAAAAAAAAGAATACAGCAAAATTAATTTAATGTCATACTATACACTGCAATTATTTCTATCTTTGGAAAAGTTTGAAGACAAAATTGGATCTTTATAAAAAAAAAAATTTAAATGGAGTTTGAGAGTGTCTGAAATTGCGAAACTTTGAGCTCATTTTCACGGAAAACTGTTGAGTTTTCGAGAAACTTTATCTTACGTTATTTAAATACATGTACTCGTAAATACATTAATGTAAAGAAATTGCCGCTTGTGTAAATATTAACAACGTTAAGGATGTCAAAAAAATTGTACTTATGTAATTTTCGAAAAACAAAGGGATAGAGTAATATGGCTGTTATAGCATCATATAGAGAGAATTTAGTACTATCCCTAATAAAGGTTGAAAAAAAAAATGGAGTCGTTTATGAGAAAAAACTTCTTATGTACATTTTTTAAAACTGCAAATATAGTGTGAAAACTACTATTTTTTTTAAATGGACGTGACCATTATGAAAGAAGTAATTATGGACAACAAATTTCATTCGAAAGAAAAATCTCTACCTTTATTTAATAGTTGTAAAAAAGGCACATGAAAACGAAAAAAAAAACATTATTTTACAATTTGCGAAAATTGAAAGTTTACCGTGAAAATCGAATCAATGCCACTTTTATATAAGGGTATGTTACTCTATTCTCACAAGAAAATTAAAAAAAAAAATTGGAGCCACATTTCAAAAAAAAATTGAAAATGTCCGGATGGCTTCCTATACCCTCAAATTATAAAGAATGTCTTTCAATTGCTCGGACTCAAGCCTGGTGGTCAGGGGTTTCTTTAATTTGGAAAATTCCTACGCATTGCTTAGGCGCGAGTAGTGTTCACAGACCGGCAATTTGAAAAGAACCACTTTTTCAGTGACACGGGAACCAAGATTTTTCCGTTGGAATCTCGAAATCGATTTTTCACAGCATAAATAACTGCCTATCTTTCATATATTACTCCGTATATTGATAGATATACTCGAAAGAAAAATTGTTGACGAGAGACTGAACCTGTCTCACGCGTTTATTTATGGACATTTCCTTCGATAACCTGCCGTTTATTTCGAACCACACTGTGGTTCCAATTTATAGGCATTTAATAGCGCCCACAAAATGTTATGGATATCCTTTTTTTGTAATACACCAAAGTACTAATCTGTTCATATTATAGGAAGCATATTTTTCTATAAATGTCATATATGGTTCTTCTCTCATCAATTATTTTTATTGAGAATAGGGCAACTGTACAAACTTCATGTTCTTTACATCTATTCTTGTAAAAATCGACAGCTATGACGCTGTCATTAAATCGTTTCGATTGTGAAGTCACTATGGTACGTTCAAACACCCAATTAAATGACAGCGTCTCAGCTGGCGAAGTGTCAACGGAGTTATACTAGGGTTTTTATAGCTTGGAGGATGAGTGCCTGCCTTCACGAAGGAGTATCTTCGGCATTTCGCGGTTTTCTCAGTCGTGCCAGTAAATGTCGCATGATCGCGACCGTATCGAGTAGTGCAGGAGATCATGCGACAACTAGCGGCACGACAGAGAACGTCGCGAAATGCCGTGAGATATTCCATCGCGAAGACAGGCATTCATGCGCCAAGTGTGAAGCGAAGTGTGACGCGTCGTACCAACCAGGTGTGTGCTGCTGTCATTGAGCGTCTCGCCAGCCTGGACGCAACCTGGTTCGCCTTTGGTGCAGTCGCTGCCAAGGCTGACCTCCAAGCAGTTCCGCAGTGGGCGCAACGCCTTGCAGGAACCGCCTGTGGGGCCGGACGCCCACGGCGTCGCCGCCGCCGCCCAACTGGCCGAACTGCTGCGCTGCCCGACCATCCGCCCTCGGTATCAGGCCACGCTGCTATTCCCCCAGCGGATGTCAGGGCCCATACAAGAAAGCCTCCCACAAGTACTTCATCGCGCTGGCGTGCCTGTCGTCTTCTTGTCTCGCGCTGCCATCTATTACGTGCAGGCTTCTACGCGAGGCACATTTCACCTCGTCACCCTACCCACCCTCAACTCGCTCTCCCAGAGCAGACAGATCTGGCGTTTCGTCGGTGCCCAGACGGCTACCAACGCGAAGGGCACATTCGTGGTCATTCTCATGGGAGAGCAGCGAGCTTCAAGAATAGAAATACTGACCCATTTCAGGTCCTTCGCACACGAAATCGGCACAGGTCAATTGATTCTCTTAGATCCACGACCTGAGAACGATCGGGAATCATTAATCTACACAATTCATTCACAGCATTGTAGATCGTTTGTTTCATCCATTGCAGAGCGAAGATCATTTCCAACTTTTACTTTTTGTGATAATTTTAACAGTAGTGACGCTGAAGTATTACACCGGCTTATGGCCCCGCCTTACGATTTTTTTTTTGACAAATCTTCTCATCTTGCTAACAGTTGGAGAGACAAAAATGGAGTTGTGCATTCTGACGGTCCAGATTCGAAAATCATGGATATTGTTAGAGAACGAACCGTGGGAAATATAATAACCAGCGGACTAAAAGATCCAGTAGTATCATATATTGCAAAAATAGAGACCACGATTTTTTTTAAAATTTCCGGAATCGATCAATCTGTCAGCGTTCTCCAAAACGACCTCTACATGTTCATGAAAAAAGGTCCACGTGTTCCCTTCTCACTGGTAGTTTTTCTTCCTTTCGAAGGCATGTTATGGGCCACCGTAGGCGTCTCGATTTTTATCTTGGCCTTCGCCTGGTTGGTTCTACGCTCCGCCATATACGCCCCCGATCCCCACGATCTCAGAACAACCGCATCTCCTTACGCTCGGCCCTTGACCAGAGTGGTCCCGGTCACAGCTGTTCTGGATGTCATACAGATGCTCGTCACAGGTTACATCGCCTTCCACAGACTCCGAGGTTCCGAACGCGTTGCCGCGCTGTGTACAATTACCCTTGGGCTGTTGCTTGGCAGTGCTTACAGCGGACTGCTTCTGGGGTTCCTCACGGTTCCTGTCCATTACCCAAACCCGAACACCATCAGAGATGCCACAAAATCAGTTGATCGGATATATACATACAAAAAAGTTATTAAAATGCTACAAGATAAAGAAAGCAGCGCTTTCGAGTTTCATTTTGCTAATAAGTTGGCTCACTTCAAGTACGTCGACGAAGTTGAAAGCATCTTCAAAGCAATTGCTGCCGGGAACCGATCAGCAATTGTTACATCTCAACAGATGTACGAATCACTTGTCGATTCCATTGGAAAAAACTATGGAAATGTCCACCAAGTAAAGGAGTCTTTCTTCTCGCCGGTGCACCACACGTACAAGGTGAGACGAAATCACTATTTCACTGAAAGATTCATTGACATGGTTGAACGTGTCGTGGAGGCTGGATTGTACCGGCATTGGATGTCAGCGCAGCGGCATTTGCGAGCCCTGAACGGACAAATACTGGTGGAACCGGTGTTTAAGCCCGACCCGCTGGGTATCAAACAGCTCGTCGCGCCGTTCGACGTGCTGTCGGTGGGGCTGTGCGTGTCCCTGTTGGCCTTTCTGAGGGAGCGAATGCGCCGTGATCTGCTTGTAGTCTGCGCGCGGGTGTTACGTATGATGGGTGGACAGACGTCCATCTTGTGGACGCTGTGCAAGGGTACCTGCGCGTCGCTGCTCTCGCTCTTCCGGGCTGCTAGACGTGTCTGTGCAGGTCCGAATAGACGAAATTAAAACGCGGATAGAACTGGAAGGTATGTCACCGGCATCTGCAATCTTAACCAATACCTGCTGGTGCATCAACAAACTCGAGGTTGCACCTGTAACGAATATGGAAAATATAATTTCCAAATCTAAGAACAATAATATAAGCAATTCATGTAAATTATGTAAAATTAATTTTAATAAAGTTGTTGCACTCTTTCACTTTGCCAAAAGTATTATTGTTTGGGCGTTATACACAAATAAAATTATTTTATTTTGTAAAAACGAATGTTTTGGTATATAAATATGAACTATGTCATTATTTCAATAAAGTTATTTCAAAAATACATACTTGTAACATAAATAATTATTTAAACCAATTTTCAAAGAAAGGAACAAAACAAACGAAAATCGTAGGCCTTTGGGGGCAATGGTACAGAGAAAGTAATGAGTGTAGTGTTGTATCTTAAGCAGCATGGGATGAGTGTAGCCTGCAACATTTTAGAAAATCTGTAATATGGCATGTAGTATGGTATGGACTTAAACATTTTGAATTTTCTCTCCAAAAATTTGCCTCTGAAGCCGCCCAAAGTATTTCTTTTAAATATTATGTCTTGTATTCCTTTATTGTATTATTTTTGGTTGGATACCATTGAAAAATGTTAGTCCGTAGCACTTTCAAAAAGTTTCTCAACACTAATCGCTCTCCATGCAACCGGGCCTAATCTGGCTCTTCTGAGCTGAGCTGTAGACAGCAGGATGTATTTCAGTTTAATGAGCTTCTAGACACTCGAATCTCTTGTATACACTGTTGGGGTAAGGAACTATAGAATATTATGTGTTGGTGAAATATTGGAAAAATTTAACAGGACATTTACATCGGTTAACTAAACAAATAAAAATTGAAATGGAAAAATCTGGAGGCAATGAAGGGCTATATATTTTTTATAAGTTTTCTTCGAATTATAAGTGTTAATATAATAAGTTATGGTAAGAGCAATGTCTAAAGACTCCCAAAAAATTAATATAAAAATCAATGATGATAACTGAGCTAACACCATAATAAAAAAGTTTGGCTTTTGGCGAGTTGAAAAAGGCAGTCTATGAATTGTAATAAGAGCCTAAGATGGGACCAATGAAAAGTAATGGATATGTGAGGAAAATGTGAATTCAAATCACATTAAGATAATGCTGTTCTGTAAAGAAGGTGTTCTTTTACACTGTTGTAAATCCCACCTTTTCTTTTTATTATGAAAATGTTTATTTTCGCTGTATAAGTAGGGTCATATGGGAGACATTTTGCTAAGGAAATTCTCTTTGGAAGGAGATGGATCTCTGGTATACTACTAGGGTGTAGGCAAACTTCAGAAATGAAAGGAAAATTACAGGCTGCAAAACAAAATTTATCTATACATACACGTTATTGTATTGTTCATTACATTTTGTAAATAAAAAGGTATATGTATTTATCTGTTGTTGTTTTTTATTAAAAATACTTGCTTATTTTCCTTTCTGTTTTGCTTGCTACATTTTTTTAACTCAAAATTACATGGGATTGATATTCTTCTGACGGAATTGGGAAACTACAAAACATGCATGTCACATACTATTTTACTGTGTGGTAAAGTTTTTATCATATTTAACATTTTAAAAACCATTTTTTACTATCAATAAATTAATTTAAGTTCCAATCTGAGACATTTTGGTGGTGATTCCATTTCTGTCGCTAATAAATCCTTTTACATAATATATCTTTGTAGAGGAAAGTGCGCACACATATTCTCCATGTCACACTACACAGTACAGTAATATACATTAAATATTTCTTCTTTTACGTTTCATGCCTTACTTCCTGGGAAGAGAAAGTATAAAGGAAAATGTGATTGTATGACAGAAAAACAGCCAAGCCCTGGTAGAAAACAGTTGGATAAATTTTGTTAGCATTTGTTGAAAATTATTTTGTATCCTAATCGTGTGAGAATCTGTGTTTTCAGATCTTTGATATCAGTGTCAGATTACTGCACAGGCAAAAAAGGCCTGAATCACACCTTACAGGAGGTCTTCAAATATTAGTACATTTACTTACTTTGTATTTAATAAATTTAAAACTGTGTAATATTTAAGAGTTTTTAATGAATTTTAAGATTCTATCATTTATTTGGGCTTACGTAAAGTTTTTAAATACCCTTTAGATACTGGATGATCAGCACATACGGATGTATTCATTAGAGATGGGTATGAAGGAATTGTAAAAGTACTTGATATTATTGCCATCAATGTGAACAAACACGTAGAAACCAAAAATGAAGCAATGGGTTTATTGAGGAGCCTCCAAAGACAAGAAAAATTATTTTGCAGGCGATTTGGGCTTCAATTCTGAAACAGTTTTATTTATATACAAAGTGAAACATTAGGTTTAGATGTTGCATGTAGATTATTAGTATGAAATGTATGACACTCATGCAAAATTGAAACTTCTTGATTTTGACTATAAAAATGAATTAAACTGAAAGCCTGTAAGAAAATCGAAATTAACTTTTTGATGGAAATGCAACATAATTCAAGTTAAGCAGAAACAAAATGATATAAAAAAAGACATTCACTCCAATAACTGATCATTTAATTAGAGAGTTAGATGATAAAAAAGGTATATTCTCATCTAACAGTTTGGTTTTTTTATAAACCTAATATATCTTGAATTAAGCAAAATTCAAAACATTGTCAATTTTGTGTTAAATGGAAATAATGAAAAAAATAAGAACTATAATGCATTCAATTCAAACATTTATTGGTCAGAGAGAAATCCAGATCCAAATCCAAATCCAGTTGGCAATCAATGCTTGATTGCCAACTTATATGAAATTCTGAATGTGTATCAACTTGCTGAGACTTTCCCTAATGTTTAAATTGCTCTATGATTTTGTCTTTTCTTGATGATGACCAACTACGAATGAGTGCCCTTTTGTTAAATTGAAATATATAAGAAATGATCACAGAAATAAAATGTATAATATTAGTTGAAATAATGTGGTGCATACAACTTTTGGTATAATTAAAATACTTGAAATTTTATTCATGCACTACGTGGGGGGGGGGGGCACAAGATCGGTTATCCCCGATTGATCTTGAGGCCCTGTCAGACTGAAACAGATATTTAGACTTTTAGGGGTTCTTTACACGAAGCCTCAATATTTTTAAAAATTTAGAATTAATCTACATTCTTTATTGCATAAAAGATGCTCAAAGGCCTCATATTTGTTTAAATTTATGAAATTTCAAAATTTGCAGAAGTTCAAAATGCTTTTCGATATCTTGCTATATCTATATTATTGAAGATCATTATTTTTTCCTTAATAAAATCACATCTTCAAAGGCAGATCTTGAGATAAGGTAATGTATAATTTTACAAAAATGTGAGTAAATTTCATATAAGTTTGTGGAGATATAGACAATTTAAAAAAAAGTTCTTAAATATTACATTAAGACATTTAAACAGGCAGTTATTCAAGCTAATGTAGGAGTGCGAAAAGGAATGTAAACAATAGAAAAAATGGGCATGGCCTTATTTCAAATTTTCTGTATAGAACACATTTCAAGAAGGAAAAAATCTATATCTCTAATATCTTAGTTGAAGACACCACAATAACAATCTTTCTAAATATCATAGACTTTAAGGAAAATCAGATCTGCAGTATCTATTAGAACGCAATCCGTCTAGAAAATTTAATCAAAAAAATATGGAGCCATTTTTTTGAAAATGTGCCAGGGTCTTCATGTAATGTACCCCCAACAATTAAAAAGGCTGCGACCATCTGCCAAATCGTTTGGAGAATATAAATTTTGAAGAAAAAGTGGCTGAAAGGTTTACCGGCTTGCGTTGTTCACAGTTAGGAATGGACAGACGTTTTACCATCAGGTAATGTCAGTATATAGAACCCACGTTATACTACATGTGGTATTACCAACATGGATGCTGCTTATACCACATATTAGAGAATTTGTTTTCTATATGCAAATGGTAAATGGGTTCATCCTTTTTGCATTATTAGGGCAATGCAATTGTGTTTGAAAATTCGCCATCCCCCCCTCCCCCCAGCAATACATAACATTCTCTATACTTCGTTAGCAGTAACGAGATAGTAATTAGTGTCAACAAAAACATAAAGTAGAAAAAAAGTTCAGAGGTATTCTATCGTGAAAGTTTATAAAACTTTTTTTTTTTTTTTAATTTGTTGGAGTAAAATGTAACGAAATGCATTGATGTGAAAATTAATTTTGATGTTCCAAGAAGTAAGTACAGCAGAGTACTCAGCAGTTTTCAAGATTTAGTGTATTGTACTTCTTCTTAACGTTATTGCAAATGCAATAGTAATGAAAGACCAATAAAATAATTAATACATTCACCAATTCTCTAGAAATTGTATAGATCCTCTTGATTTTCGATTTGTATTAGAGACATTTCAATCAATTTGATAGACAAAAAATTCAGAAATATAGTGTTGACCACTCTAGTTTTACGAAGCTTTGGTACATTTCAGGTACGACATGGTAACAAAATATGTCAATTGCATTTCTCCATTTGAATGGCTTCATATATTTCATATTGATATGATTCGTATTTTACTTTTTTTCTTCTGAACATAACTCCTTCGCGTGTTGCAATGCATGCCCCCAAGACATTTCTTCAATTGCACAAAGTAAGAAAAAAGTCTTCAGAAGACCTAGAGAAGTTTAAAATGACTCTGCAAACGTGTTTCACAACATATTCTGAAACAATGTCGACATCGATAATTCCACCTCTGGTCCTTTGTTGCAATGACCAGAGAAGTTCCCGCGACTAACAGTTGTGGTTTGTCAAGCAGCAAACGTTTTCACAATGACACTGTGTATAATCATTTACCTAATTATAAGGTACGTTTTCTCAAACTTGCCTTAAACTTATCAAATTTTGTATGCATTTACAATTTTAGTTCTCATTGTAAGTTTGCCATTAAAAACCATTGTTCTCGTTTCATTGATTAACATTTTAAAATTTTATCTTTTTTCAATATTACTTAAAACATGCAGTGCGTGTTGTGGCTTGTCTTCACTATCTTGCAAGGTAACTTGGTCGTCACCATAACATAAAATAAAGAGTTAAAATACACATTTTCTCCCAGATTAATTAATTTTATGGGTCACATGCGTCTTTAACCCTTCATAACATGCAACCCTGTAAGTTTACCTTCCTGTAGGTTAATAAATTGAAAATCCTTAGCAACGGGTTTTAACATCTTTAGAAACCTTCTCGTATCGTGCCCTTCTGGTATAAATTCTTCGTTTGCCTTCTCGTATTGTGCTTTATATTTTTCAGGTTTTAAATCTCGCGTGGCTTCCGCAGCTGCATCCAAAATTTTTTGAAGTACAGACAAAATTTCAGCGCCCATTTTCCTCGAGCCACGGTATACAAGTGTATTGTTGAAATAGATATATCGCAAGCAAAACTCAACAATATCGATTATCGTTCCGCAACAACAGAATTCATGTGTTTCATATCGCAGTAATGTAAATTTTCTCAAATAAATTGAGATATTATAGTGACCGATAAAACACTGAACATACCACGAAATGTTAGTGTTATTACTGCCTCGTCCAAATTAAAAACCCGGCTCTATTTTTAACTTTTGGCATCGGCAGTATTAACACTCATAACATTTCTGGATATGTTAATAGCTATAACTAATACCCGTACTTTGTTCTGAATGTGTCGTGCATTTAAATATGAAAACTAGTGGTAGTACAGAATGGCACAATCCAGTATGACTTCTCTATTGCCATTGGTCTCGGCTAGCTATTCTGTCTTCCCATACTTTAATTTTTTTAAAAGAATTTCGGCTTTTTAGTAGTAGAAAGAAAATATTATTTTGAGAGAATTAAAGAATTATAAAAGTTCCACCTATTTGTCAAATTTTCTTTGACAAATTTGGAGCTATTTTTTAAAAGGAAAACAGCATTCAAGCGCAACTCTAGATTCGAAATTCGAACCTTTTTCACAGAAAACTATTGAATTTTTGAAACACGTTATATGACGTCATTTCAAGAACATTCAGTATCAAATGCAGTAGTGTTTACAAATTGCTAGAAATGTGCATATTACAGGCATGGGAAATCTATATAAAATTATATTTGTATAATTAAAACAAATGTATACAGAAAAATTAATTATATGTCATCTTATATATTGCAAGTATCACTATCTATTGGAAAAGTTTGAAGAAATTGGCGCCGTTTTTGAGAAAATGGAGTTTGAGCGTTTCTGAAATTGCGAAATTTTGAGCTCGTTTTCACGGAAAACTGTTGAGTTTTCGAGAAGCTTTATCTACCATTATTTAAAGCACATGGACTCATAAAAACATCAA